TCATTAGCTGCTGTTTCATTATATAATTGGTTAGGTCAAGAAACTGGCATTTATATATCATTAACTGATCTTCTTCAAGGACTTTCAATTGAAACGATTGCAACACTTGTTTATAATAAACTTAATGAAAAAGAACAAACAAAATCATCAGCTGCAAAAGAACAAGATTCAGATTTTGATTTAGTTAATGAAAATGAAGTTCAATTTTCTAATACATCAACATATACTGGTTTAGAAAATATTATTTGTCTACGTCGTTCGAATCAAAATAATACTTCAACTCTTTTTTGTATTACTCAAATATCAAATGATAATAATAATGAAGATTTATTTACATTATTTATTCAGAAATTATCTAATCAAAAAAATAAAATATCATCAAATGATATGTATGCTTTACAAATATCATCATCTCTTTCTTCATCCTCTATATCTACATATGCTCAAAATCTTATTACACAAATGCGTCGTATTCAATCATGTGGATCTTATCAAATAGTAGCTATTAGAAAGAAACCAGAAGAAACTATTGCTCATGAAATGTTAGAACAACTGAAAATACATTGATTCATTAATAATACTCGATTACATGTTTTAGATGCTCAAAATTAAAATATATTCGCAATTATCTTATTTATTCAAGTATTTATAATTTATTCATTTCTAAACTTCTTATTTGTTTTTTCTTATTCATTAAATCTATTTCATATATATTAGTTGTCGTAGTAGAAAAACATTTGTAGATTTCTTAACAATTAAAACTGAGAAATTTTTTCGGTAAAAATCTTAAATTTTATTTTTCTATTAAACATAAATCAATTTCATCATCAATCATATGAATACACTTTTAAATAAATCTATCAATGAATAGACTTACAATTATCATTAATAATGCATATATGTAATACTTAAAAAACATTTTAATTTTATCATTTCTAAACAAAAAAGAAAAGTTCGAATTTGAATTATTTAGTACATTTTGATTTATTAAAACTTCGTAATAGTACTCATAAACCCACCCTCACAAAGTAAACTCTATGAATTATTTACTCCAAAAACAAAATATCTTCTTTCACATCCTTTTAGTCAATTTATTACTAAACTTCTAAAACAATTTAATCGTAATACTCTAATTAATATGAATCTTCAACCAAATATTATATTATTTTGAATTAAATCTAATATTTAGATATGATGGTTTATTAATTCTTCAAATTGATTCAACATCTTTCTTTAAAAAAACTCTTTCTACGCATACCGATAATCTTCCATCGGCACATATTCTAACAGGTCATCCATCATCTTCCAGTACTACTTTATCCACTCGACAGATATCTGTTCTTGATATAATTGTTGGTAAATCTCAAGCATAAACATCTCTTCAAATACGTGGTATTAATTTAACATTAAGTGGTGTTAAAAATATTCGTACAATTGCAAGGAATGTACCATTAAGATCGTAAGAAGGCCATGATCTTTTTAATCGTACTGTTAGTTTAATAACATTCTATGTTCAAGAATTTCTTCCCGATGATACACAACAAACATCTTCAGTACCAACAACAACTGATACAGATAATGAATTAGTTAATACAAATTTAAATGATACTATTGAAAAATCTCATACACCAATTCCATTGGAACAAACAACAACGAAAAAAACCATTTAGGTACACGTTGTAAAGATACATTTAATAGTAATATCAATCCATGTCCATTAGAAACTCAACAAAGTCTATCTACATCATCGAAACGACCTATATTTGGACCTCATTTAATAGCACATTGTCAAGGAATGACATTTTCTACAACACTTCTTTTAACATTAAAAGCTTAATATAAAATAGATGTTGCTAATATTGGTAGAATGAAATCATGTTTTACAACTACTATACATGAATATGCATTACATTTATTAAATAATAATAATCATGATCATCAACAACCTCCAACAGTTAGTTCAGATAATCATCTACGAATTTATTTTCCTGAAATACATTGTTATGGAAATTATTCTATTCAACAAAAACAAGAAAATAAAACAAAAGGTCGTTTAAATATTCGTACAAAAATTGATATACTTAAATTAATTATAACAGTTAATTTTATTGCACAACTAGTTTTTGTTTCAAAAGCAACTATACATGAAATAAATGAAATTCTTGCAAAAGTTTCTGGATTTGATCAATTTCATTTTGGAGCAACAACAAAACATACACGTTTATCATCATCATGAACAGTACCTATTATACGTATTGCTTCAACAAATACAGAAAATGAAAATGATGATGAACCAAAAAAAGATCAACAAACAACACCATCAACATTATTTACATATACAATACATTTATCAATGAAAGATTTTGAAGTTATGGGACAAACGCCATCAAATACAATAGTTAAATTTGAAAATGGTGATATAAAAAAGTACCAATATTTGTTAAATTAACAACTTATGAAGAAACAAAATTCTATATTACTCTATAATAAACCATTAATTAATGCTCTCATAAATATTAAACTTGGTTTAGGACAATTATTGCAAATAGGTAGTTTTCAAGATGGTGCTTATTTTGAAACAAAATTATTTTTAACAACATTCATTACAAGTAAGTTTAAAGTTCTTTTCTCTTTTAAAAAAAAAGTTTTTCGAATCAGATATCATAATGAAAACTTAATTCTTATTTTAGTGGGATGATCCGAATAAAGAAGCTTATTTTATTCGTTTAGCAAAACCAAGTTTCTATTGGCAACCCGGTGCTGTTGATAAAGGTACACAAAACTTCTTCTTGTTTTGTTTTTTTCATTCAATTTCTTTTACATATAGAAATACGTTTTTGATTAAATTATAAAAATACTTATGAACATTGGAATGAACAACTGATGCATTTACAACTACAACAAGTGATTCAACACGTTCATGTTCAATTGTTAATATTCCAATATCTCCTGGATCTAATAGAGAACTTAATCTTATGTTTCAATTGCATATTGTTGATTTAGGTATTGCTATACCACTTCAACAATATGATCCACTAACAAAACTACCAACAACAGATAATTTAACACCATCAGAAATAATAACTAAACAATCTATTCCGATATTTGATAAAACAACTATATCAGCATGTTCATGCGATGCTATAATAAGTTCAGGTTCATTTGAAGTTTTTTGTTTTCGTTTTGCTGAAAATTTTCAACAAACAAATATAAAATGGAAATCTATAGATTCAGAATCATCACCAAATATTATTTTAAATGCATGTTGTGTGTTAAGTGAACAATATTTAATGCATTCACGTACAAAACATATACTTAATTCTCCTAGTCCAAAATGGTTTTTAAATGTTTAATGGGATATGAAAGGTATTGAGACAAATCTTGATTCAATTATTGGTAAACATTTTTCACAATTAATTCGTACAATAACATCAACACAATTAATTGAACCAATTAATCATTCAAATGACGAAAATAATTCTTCATCAAATTCAAATTTATTAAATGCACAAGCTGGTGGTACAAAAAATATTTTAGAAAATATTGATGAAAGTGATGATGATGATGAAAGAATAAAACGATTAGAATATGAACATTTAACATTAGGACAAAAAATTAAAACATTAAAGTAAAATATATTTGAAATATAGTATTCTCTTTTTTTTTATTTTTCATTTAGTAGACGATCTCAAACATCTTATGAAACATTAAAAGCAGACTTAACAAGATATGAATGGTTAGAAAATGCAATGACGAATGTCTTATAGATAAGGAGACAGTAAGGTATTTATTACTATTTATAGTAATTCGTTTCTTATAAAAGTATATATGAAAATCTAGTATCGTATAGTCAAATAAGTTTTATAGCCATTACAGCAACAAAAACATATTATTACTATTCAACAACAAAATGAATTATTACGACGATCAAATATACCAATGATCCGAATTTTAATTTATGTTCCATGTTCTGTTCTATGTATTTATATGCATGTCTTTATATAAATCGAATACGTTTTAGTTTTTTAATATTCATACTTATATAGCATTGTTTCATGTGAATCATTTTCATGTTTATTAATATAAAAAAAACAAAGAAAAATTAAATACAATTGTCTTTTTATTTAGTCTGGTCATAATCGTGATCGAAATCGTATTGATTCAGCAAGTTATAAACGAACACAATCATATGATCCTAGTAGACCTTCACATCATACTCAGTAAGTTTCTCTTTTAATTAGCGTACTTTTTTTTTCCCAAAGTATAAAAAGAAAAATTCATATATTGCTTCGTATATGCATGCTAATAGTACGCAGCGTTATTAACTGGTGTAAGCAGCCACACTTGCCTCGTCATCAGGTTTACACCGTCAACGAATGTAGGATTTAATTTCGTGCTTTAAATAAACTCAAGATTTTTTTTAAAAACATCCTTTTTATACGATCTGCTGCTTTGTTGTTTCAGACAGAACAATAAAATAAATTCATATGATTCTACTTATCAGACATTAATAGAATGCATTAAGTAATTCGAAAAGAAACATGAAATGATCAATAATAACTATATGAATAGTTTTCTAATTTTTTTGTTTGTTTATAGTTCGGAAAAGGGGGATGACCATCATCAATACATGAAGATGATATAGAAAATGGAACAACACGAGCATCAAATGCTAATATTCGGTAAATATTCAAGATTCTCAATTTAGATTTAAGTTTTCTTTATCGAATCAATCAGTAGAATATAGATAGAATTCGAGCTCAATTTGATATGTATAAGATTTAGTTTTATAATAAATTTATTATTTTACGTTTCCATCACAAGATCCCTCAATGTTCGATTATCATCAATCAAAGACAACCAATACACCAACTGAAATTATATCTGCACCAGCTGTAGATTTAGAATTAAATTTTCAAATTCAAATTGCTAGTGGTTCATGTAATCTGTATACAAGTCGTGATTTAATATCAAATTCATCATTTACCACAGCAAATCCAACTAAACAACAGCAATCTCAAGTAAATATTGATTCAAGTGTATATATAAATAAAACTGAATACCAAGTATCACAGACTTTTCTTACCGGGTGTTGATGCTGATATACATTACAATTCTAAACATAATAATACTATGAATAGTGCATTAAATAAACGAGCTAGTTTTTATTCTCGTGCTATGATACAATAGCCTACAATACAAATAACTATGCATTCATTATTATATGATTTTCTTGAACAGACACGTGAACATGTAACATTACCACAAGAGCAAGATAGACAAACTAATTTATAACAAGAATAAATGTAAAATGTTAATGAATAAAATTCTAATAATGATTAGTTAAAAACAATGTAAGTTTATTGATGAATATCTACATTCTCTTTTTCTTATAGAAGAATCCAGTAACAACAGAGTATTTACTTGCTTGTATATCCGCAGTTCAACAAAAATCAACAACACTACCTTCTACCAGCCCAACTTACAATATCTGATCCGCGACTGATGCAACTAGTATTTATACTCATTTGTCAACGCGAGGTTATCAATATGGACCTTCTTTTCGAAACATACAATCATTATGTGGTACGACATCTACAGTTACTGCTCAAATTCATAGCAATGTTGATGCAATTATTGATCTCTCTTATTGTTATTTGCTTGATTCAACCACATTGAATACTTTTCTGCAGTCACCTCTAGTTTTGTTACCTGATGTTGATTTTACGGTCCTTCCGGTTAGTGTCCACAAGTTTGTTGCTACGAACAAAATGAACACATCTCATTCAGATGTTGAATTGCGTGGAAAATATCACGATGCCGTGTGTAGCTTAAGCCAAGATCGAACATATACTTGTGACTTATTAATTCTACCAAGTGGTGGCACGATTGTCAACGAATCGATAATGATTTTTGAAGGTCTTGTAAGAGTGAGAGTGGGTATGTGAGTAGAAGATTTACACATCAGTTTCATCTTCATACACACACCCTCAGGAAAAGACGCAAATACATCACATATTCTGAGTGCTAAAACACCTTTTTGCTATTACTAAAATATGAGAGAAGAGTAAGTCTTGATCGGCCTATGTTTTTATTTCAGATATTGTTTGAAAAATGCCTTTCTACAAAAAAGTTCAGTTGAAAGTTATACACGACTCAAAATATGGTGTCGATGAGAAGGGTGTATTCGCAGTGGAAAAAATTTCCAAAGGTGAAGAATTAATATACGAATACGATCCTTTGGTCGAGGAATGGCCATTTTATCTTGATAATGATAAACGAGGTAAATACACTAAAGCAGAATTATTTAAGTTGATTGAAAATAACCCACAATTAAGCAAACTTATTACTCATTACGCATACATGGTTGATGATGATTTATTCAATGTTCCACTCAAAGATGTAATTATGGATTCTGAAAACGTTGAGGATTGTGAAAAGCGTTTTCCCCATACTATATTCATTAACCATTGTTGTGACCCAAATATTGGCTTTATTGAAGTCACAACATGCCACGCACTACGAGACATTGATATTGGTGAAGAAATAACATTCGATTATAATTGTATTGATACCGAAAATTCTCTTCGCGCTGGAACAAAATGTCAATGTGGATTAAAAGAGAAATGTCGACAAGTTCTTCGCATGGATCTTTATAAAGACCCTGCGTGGCGACAAAAAAACGAACAATATTGCTTCCCATATGTTAAAAAGAAGATCCAAGAGTTACTACATAACAACGAAACAATTGCTAAAAGTAAGTAATTTCGAACGGAATATTCTAATAATGAATAAGTCATCTAATTTACAATGGAACCTTTCGCACTAGTTAAAAGCTGTCTTAATTATATCCCGACCAAATTCTTATTCTCATCACCAAACTATCAAATTTAAAACATTACATTCCGCTAGAAAGCCTCGACTGAAATAATTGATTTTTAAGAATGAGTTTCTAAAAAGATTAGCTACTTAAGGATACCAACGATGATGAGATGACTTATCATTGTGTGATTTTTTGGCGTATGGAAGAGGACCGTGAGTTATTTACTTCATGAAATTATCAGTTCTATTCGATGAGATTTCGATGTGTAATGATAAAAAAATAGGGTCCAATCATTTTGTTAGCTTTCAAGCATTATTCATTATAGAAAATATGCTAAAATCTCGGTTAGATGTGTTTAATGCGGTAAGATGTATGAAGCCTGAAATTTTTATAGCAAATAGATTGCAACGAGCACTCTTCATGGTAAAAAATTTCAAGCTTGGTACATGTGCCACATAAAACGCACTTAACTGAGATTTTGGCATATTTATTTTACTAATAATGGTTGAAAGCCAATAAAATGACTGGATCATGTTTTTTGATCATTACATATCGAAATTTCATCGGATAGAGCAATCATTTACAATAACTAAGTTTATATGATTGATTAGGAACCATTCTGTGAGGATATTGGTTGATTGTAAAGATGAATCTGCTAGATATTTTTCTTCTGCCGCATACTAGTTCTTGTCTTTTTTGTTTAGCTGCTATAATTGAGCAGCAAATGTCAATGCCCGATGCTAGTATGTTTTGGCTTGATGTCCTCCATGGTTATCAGCTTGATCGATCTCTATCATTACCATTTGATCGATATCGTCTTGTGGGTGAAGATCGAACTGGTCGTGGGATATCTGTTTCCGTCGATTTCGGTGAAGATCTCTTACATCATCTTCTTCATTATGCATCATCAATGAATATAAAACTTGAACATCTTGTATTTGCCGTTTACTATGTTTTTATGTTCAAGTTAACAAATGGAGAGACGGACTTGTGTGTTGCAGTTAAAACCGATAGTCGACATAGAGACGAATTCAAAATAATGATTGATTTGTTCGAAAACATCGTTCCATTACGATGTCAATTAGATCCTCATTGGTCTTTCCGGCGGCTCATCGAACATATTTGTGAGATAATAACAGGCACTATGAAATATTCTTACTTTCCTCTTAAACGTATTCTTGCCCAATATTCGAATGCTTCAAAGCCTGCATTTCTCGACATATTATTCGAGTTTCTGTCAATGACCTCAATCAGAAGTAATGACGAAGAAATCATGAGCAACTTTGATTTTTCTCTCACTATGCAACATAATCCGGAAACTAATCAACTATCATGCACAATTGATGCATCACTCGATCTGTTCAATCGAAATACAATTGAAAAAATTGGACAACGATTTCATTCGATCTGCAAACAATTGTTTGCATCTACTCATGACCAAACAAATCAATCAATCTATGAACTATCATTAGTAATGCCCGATGAAAGATTGCTCATGCAATCAATGAATAATACACAAGTGTCATTTCCTTCTAGCACTTGTATTCATCAAGTGTTTGTCTGTCAAGTCATGAAACATCCACAAAAACTAGCTGTTGAACTTGATGAACAATCATTGACATATTGTGAACTTCTGTATTATGTTAAAGTATTGTCTTTTCATCTTCTCATGAGACATCTCGTCGTTCCAGGTGAAATAATATGTCAATGTGTTGAGCGAAGTCTATCAATGGTGAGTTATTTTTCGTGGCTGAGGTTTAGCGTGATTGATATTTTCATATTCTATAGGTAATTGGCATTATGGCAATTGAGATGGCTGGTGGTGTTTATTGTCCATTATCACCTCGAGATCCACAACATCGTTTGCATGCACTAATACAACAAACTCAAAGTCGTCTTGTTCTTGTTCATCACTTAACAAAAACTAAATTGAGTAATAATTTTATGTTGTTTGACATTAGTTTAGTTTTGTCTAGCAGCAATACTGTTAGAGAAAATGATATTAGTGGGCTAGGAAATATATCGATTACACCCGATCATATATCTTATATCATTTTCACAAGTGGTTCTACTGGAGTACCAAAAGCGGTTCGTAATAAAAATAAAAATAAGTTTGTAATCTATTGTTGTTGCATTTATTTATAGATCCAAATTCGACACCGAAACATCAGTCAGGATATTGATTCCATGGCTTTTGTTGATGCAGTTAACAGCAATGACATAGTTGCACAAACTGTACGTTGTTCTTTTGATGTTCACGTTGTAGAAATTATAGGAACTCTCATACTTGGAGGAACTCTAATTATGCTTCGTCCTGGTGGAATTTTAGATCTGAAGTATTTCAGTAATATAATAAAAGAAAAACAGATTACTTGTATACAAGCTGTTCCAAGCCTATTTCGAGCCTTGTTCAGCTGTTTGATGGAAACGAGCCAATCTGCTCATAGCTTATGTTTAAGGTCTCTTTGCGTTGGTGGTAACGTATACTAAAATAAGATTATACAAACGCAAACTCCTTTTTTTTCTTTCAGGCGAAGCCTTCACTCCTGATCTAAGTAAAGTGCTGACAAGCAACACAGCAGAAAAATGTCACATATGGAATATGTACGGGCCAGGAGAAACAATATACTCCACCTTTCAACATATTGATCCAGCAGCAAAGATATCAAAGATTCCCATCGGTTTACTAATGCCAAATTATCTATGTCACATTTTGAACGCCGATATGCAAGGTATTATCCTTGATGGAGAGGGCGAACTGTATTTAGGAGGAGTGGGTGTGTGTGCTGGTTATCTTCAACGTGACGATTTAACAGCAAAAGCACTTGTTGAAATAAACGGTGACGTATTTTATCGAACAGGTGATGTTGTTAGAATGGATTGTAATGGTTTGCTTCATTATATGGGTCGAAAAGATTTTCAAGTTAAATTGCGTGGACAACGAATCGAACTAGGAGAAATTGAAGGATGTTTACTTAACATTACATCCATTTCTGTTTGTATTGTCATGAAATGGAATGATGATCATTTAGTTGCTTATGTCCAATCTTCTTCTTCTCATCTGAATGAAGAACAACTACGTCAGCATTGTGAATCTTATCTTCCATCACATATGATTCCATCTTTCTTTGTTATACTTGATAAGTTACCTTTAAATGCTAATGGAAAAGTAGATCGAAAACAACTTCCCCCACCTCACTTCTCATCAATACATCGCACAAATAGCATAGAATTATTACAACCAACAAATGATATTGAACTTAGTATTCATCATATTTGGTGTGACATATTCAAACTAAATCAAATCTCAACTGATGCAAATATATTTACTATTGGTGGTCACTCATTACTAATGATAGAACTTTTTCATCGATACAAGATCGAGTTTTACTTAGAACAAAAGCAAAGTGGTTTCTCAATATCAAATCTATTTCAGCATCCAACAATTATTCATCATGCTCAACTCATTCAACAATCTATCAATATCATCCACACTCTCAATGATTATCCTTGGTCTTCATTACATCTCAGTCAAGGTAAACAAAGCTACTTAAAACAGATAGAATCATCAACTATATATATGTATTCATTCTTTTTTCTCATTCCAGCTCGAGCATCATTTGCACAGGAACGAATCTATTTAGATGAACAAATTCGTTTTTCATCAGAAATAGCAATGAATAATATGTATGCTATTCCATTCCTTTATCGTATATCATCTATAAATGATTATATATCAATCACTCGATTATACCATGCGTTCCAAAGTGTTATCACAAAACATAGTAGTCTTCGAACAGCACTCTTTGTTAATACAAGTGGTCATATCATACAATATTGTTTAGATACAAATATCATTTTCAATGATGATACTATGAAATCACATGGATTGACGATTATTAATATTCACAATGATGATCATCGTCATATGAATGAAATTATTTCAGAAATATTAAATCAAGCTGATTTATTTGATTTATCAAAAGGTCACGTTGTTAATTGTCATATTCTTCGTCATCAGCAATCAAACCTTTCATTTACTCAGAATAGGGATCTATTGACTAAAGATGATCTCATATTATTTACCATTCATCATGCTTACTTTGATGGAGCATCAACACCAATCTTCCTTCGTGATCTTTCTCTTGCTTATCAATCTAATGACATGTTCTCTATAGATGACAATTCATTACAATATATTGACTATTCTACTCATGAACATATCATGGATATGACATTATCTCAAGAGTTTTGGCAGTTAGAACTCAAAGGATGTAATCTTACACACCAATTACCATTACCAGTTGATCGACAACGTTCATCAACTAATCAACAACGATCGGGTGTAGCATCCATAGCTGAAATCATTTTCGACAATGAACTATGCACATCATTTCTAAATTATGCATCATCACATCATCTCACACTTTTTCAGCTTGGATTATCCATATTTTATGTATTCCTATTCAAATTAACTCATGGTGAAACTGATCTATGTATTAGTTCTATTAATGCTAATCGATATCGAAATGAATTACAAAATCTAATCGGAATGTTTGTTTCAACATTGCCATATCGTGTAGAAACTGATTCTCATTGGTCATTTGATGAAGTAGTTAAGCATGTTCGAGAAAAGTGTTTATCAATTCTTGAATATTCACATTATCCATTACAACATATTCTTGTTGATAATCGATTAAATCAATCAAGCGTATCATTTCTTGAGATAATGTTTGCTTTTATTAGTGTATCAAGAGATGTTGAACATGTATGTTTGAATGATGTCAATTTAGAAGGAGTGCCGTTAGAAACATCATATGAAGAGGCTAAATTTGACTTCTCTTTAACATTTGTATACAATCCATTATTAGATAATAAGATATTATCATATCATTTTGTTTGTGCACATGATCTGTATGAAAAATCAACCATTTCAACAATAGCTCAAAGATTTCGATACATGTTTGAGCAACTGTTCCAAACACAATCAAGCAACATTCCTATAATAAATGTGAGTTCATCGATAAAGAAACTGTCTCTTACTCTTCCTGAAGAAGGTGAAGAAATGGAATTAGTTGTGTTTCATCGGTTGGAGAATATTGTGAATGAAGGTATAATTTATTTTATTTTATTTTATTCTATTTTATTTTCTTCTACAAAAAAAATAAAGATGCCTGTGGGTTTTTTGACAGTCTTAGAGAAACTAACTGAATCATGGATTCAATCACACACATGCGATCCTTTCTTTAAGGAAGTCGTCAGTACCTGCATTGTGCTAATACCAACTTAATTAGAGTGCCAGACTATTGCTTCTTTTTTTTATCAAGATCAACAAAACACTATCAATCCGTACAAAAAGTTCGGCAACAAGCTCTTCTCATCGGATTTTCTTAATGCTAGCAATATCTATCGACTTTTTTGTAGAATTTAATCTGATTATGTTTGAGAGCTTTCATGTGTAGGATATTAAAATATTTTTCTTACAGCCAATGTAAACTATTAACGCATTCTTAACATTCAAACTAAGATAAAACATTTAATATAGAGTGTGTTCCATTAAAAAATCAATTAGATGAAAAGTGACTAGAATGTTGATATCAAGTACCATTTGATTATTCAGCTTTTACATTATAATTAATTAAATCTTCTTCATTCTAGCACCAGCATCATTTGCACAAGCTCGTATATGGCTTGACGAGAAAATTCGTTTCGAGCCAAATAAACCTCAAATAGCAACCTATAATATGCCTTTTGTTTATCGTCTTCAATTAGATCGTACACTATCGGTTAAAGAGCTTCGGCATGCTATTCATCTCACTGTTAACAAACATCCATCACTTCATACATCACTTTATTTTGACATAGAAAAAAATCTACTTATGCAACGAGCTATTGCTCATGAAGATAAAAATAATCATGATATGTTTTCAATCATTGAAAGTACTTATGAAACAGATGAACAACTCAATGAGATTTTACATGATGAGAAACGTAATCCTCATCTTTTTGATCTTGCTCAAGGTCTTGTCTTTCGATGTCATATTATTTATTATAAGCAAATCTCTTCGAATCATCATCTTTCTCTCAAAGATCTACTTATTCTCAACTTTCATCATGCTCTATTTGATTTTCAATCAATGACTATCTTTCTTCATGATCTTAATCGAGCATATACAACACGCCAAATAATATATGATGACAACAGTAATCTACGTTATCTCGATTGTAAGTATAATTAGTTCTTATCATTTTCTTAATAAATTATTTTCTTTAATTATGTAGATGCTCTTATTGAACAAGAAATGTCGATGACTGGTGCAAGCATGTTTTGGCTTGATGCTCTTCATAATTGTAAGTTTGAACAACCATTATCCTTACCATATGATCGATACCGTCTCTCGAATGAACATCCAACTGGTCATACAACATCTATTTCTTTCGATTTTGGCCAAGATCTCTTACATGCCTTTCTTACTCAGGCATCATCAAATATCATATCATTTGAACATCTCACATTTGCTATTTGTTTCATCTTTCTATTTAAACTAACTAGTGGACAAACAGATCTATGTATTGCTATGAACATTAATAACAATCGATATAGAGATGAACTCAAATCAATCATTGGACTGTTTGAGAA